CAATCAAGCGCAGCTATTCCGCTGCAATTCACTTGATCATGTGGTTGTTGGTATTGTTGGTTTTTGCTGATAATTCTATTTTTAGAATGTTTAACTTTTTAGGTGTGCTCGTCCTTAAGTTATTTGTTTTTGTTATTTTTGGCCTTTTTGATGTTATATATATAATACTGGTGGAATTATTTGTCCATCTTTTATGAAACGGGTGATTTTGTCGCTTACGCTCTTTTTGCCGTCACAAAAAAAGGCTGCAGCACGCAATTGCGGCGGTTAGGCCAAAAGATATATTAAAAAAACATGTTTTTGCATTAACAGAAACCATTTTGATGACTAACTCATTTCTTGTATTCTTGTTATTAAAAGAACAACTCTACATACATACATTATTGGATAAAATACTATCTATATATATAAAATAATAGCCGTTTTCGTTGTTCGGAGTTAGGTCAAAAACTACTGCATAGATTTCAGTCAAATTTTCAGAGGTTATACCTTGCATGTATGGTTCTATTATATGCTACCAGAAAATTCGCTAGGGTCGAGTTATTTATAAAAGTCTTTATGAACCGATTTCGTTGAAATCCAAAACCTCCTCCATGATGAGAAATACGTATGCGAAAAATAGACCCGCTAGGTGGCGCTGGAGTCGAGTTATATATAAACATCGTATTTATGAACTGAGTTCTTTTAAATTCAAAATGTAAGCTACCAGCATGATGGCAAACACGTTTACCAAAAATAGACCCGCTAGGTGGCGCGGGAGTGGAGTTACTTATAAAAGTCGTATTTATGAACCGATTTCGTTGAAACTAAAAGTATAAGCTACCTGCATGATGAAAAAAACATTTGCGAAAAACGGACCCGATAAAAGCCCTGAACCGATTTTGTTAATGCGAATTCGAAACGTTTATTACTTCATGATGATTTTTTTTTTTATTTTAAACATATATATATGTACATACCTACATAAAATGATAGCCGTTTTCGTTGTTCAGACTAAACTCAAAAACCAGTCAAATTGTCGGAGGTTATACTTTGTATATATTCCTACTAGCCAATGCCCGCTTGCTTCGCTGCGCCTAATAAGATCTTTTGCGTTTAAAAGCTAAAGCGTTTGAGAGGTAAAACGGTCTGTAAAGTAAACATTTTTAGTTTAAATTGAAACGAATAAAGAGCAGAATCCTCTTCATACATAGGCCAAAAATAGTAGCTCTGTGATACCATATGGAATACTTATCCCTTTCGATGCCACGAGTTTTACCGATGGTCTTATTTTCACCTGTGAGATCTCTGCCAAACGTGCGTAATATTCTTCTATGATCTTGCAACTTCAACATTGGTCCGATGTACCATGTAAGCCAATAAAAGTTCTTATAAGGAAACTAAAGAGCACAGATGAGCGTTTTCAGTTATAGAAGGGCCCAGAATCCAGCGCCACCTAGCGAGTCTATTTTTCGCATACGTGTTTATCATCATGGAGGTAGTACACGTTTTGAATTTGAACGAAATTGGTTCATGAATACCTCGACCCCGGCGCCACCTAGCGAGTTTTCTGGTAGCCTATAATAGGAACATATATGCAAGGTATAACCTCTGAAAATTTGACTGAAATCTATGCAGTAGTTTTTGAGTTAACTCCGAACAACGAAAACGGCTATTATTTTATATATATATAGATGTAGATTATAGCCTATTAGACAACACGCTGGTGCCGCTGGAGTAGAGTTACTTATAACAGTCGTATATATTAACCGATTTCGTTCAAATTCGGCAAGTGAGCTACATGTATGATGAAAAATTCGTTTCCTAAAAATCAACCCGCTATACATTATAAAATCTGATTGAAATTCTTAATGCGTATTCATTTCATGACAGCAGTGGTTTTGCAGAAAAGAGACCTAATGGATTGCGCTGCAGCCGAATTATATAGAAACCCTGGATTCTTTGCCCTCCTATAACTGAAAATGCTCATCTGTACTCTTTACTTTCCTTATAAGGACTTTTATTGGATTACATGGTACATCGGACCAATGTTGAAATTGCAAGATCATATGGGAATATTACGCACGCTTGGCAGAGATCTCACAGGTGGAAATAAGACCATAGGTAAAAAGCACTACATCGAAAGGGATTAGTATTCCATATGGTATCACAGCGCTACTATTCTTGGCCTATGTGTGAGGATTCTGCTCTTTATTCGTNGAAATAAGACCGCATATAAAACGCAATACATCGAAAGGGATTAATATTCCATATGATATCACAGCGCTACTCTTCTTAGCCTATGTATTAGGATTCTGCTCTTTATTCGTTTCAATTTAAACTAAAAATGTTAGCTTTACAGACCGCTTTTGCTTTTTAACGCTCTTTTTGTATTGGCCAACGCAAAAGATCTTATTAGGCGCCGCGAAACAAGCGGGCATTGGCTAGTATTGTAGTTATATAAAACAATCAACCAAGCATTTGAAATCCTTTAATATTGCGGAACTAACTCCCTCTGTAGAAAAGCTATTAACTAGACTATTAAGTGAATTGAATGAAAGGTTTGAAGATATTGAACTAAATGAATTGCGCAAGCAACAATTTTGGATCCAAGATTCAAAAAATTTGGATTCATGAACGAAACGGCTTATATTTCGAATATTCAAAAATTAGATTCGAGAGTAGCTAACACAGTTGTTCAAAATTGCGAAAATTTTGTTAGGGATGAAAATCCCGTTCAATGCAATTCGGTTGTAGGCGGGATAAATAGCGATCGATTAGAACTAATATGGAAGGATTTTGACGCTGAAGTTCAGAAGCACACTAGGCCAGGAAATCAGATAGCATCTGCAATTGTAGAAGTGGATAAATACTTGTCAGAGCCTGTCTTACAGCGGAAAGATTCTTCCGGAAAGCATAACGATCCACTGTTGTGGTGGCACCAAAGAAGACATATTTATCCCCGATTGTACCAGCTTGTCAAAAAACGACTGTGTATTTCCGCAACATCTGTTCCTTGTCAACGTATATTTTCGCACGCTGGACAACTTGTTAGCGAAAAACGAGAGAGCCTGAAAGCAAGTAAAGTATCTCAAATTGTTTTTTTTTAAGTATAATTTAGGTAACAATGATTTTTAAACAACTTCCTGAACTCTTTTTAAACTGAATTTAATTCATGATCTCTAAAGTATATGTATAAGCGAAATTAATTGAATGTACACTAAAAAAGCACACAAATGCAAAATGAATTTAATTCATGATCTCTAAATTATATGTATAAGCGAATGTGCTAAAAACTAAATAAATTCTGTGGTTTAAAAAATAAAAATATCTTCGTTGCATGTATCTGGGTTTTAAAAGGACAGAAAGCAAATGTTTTTAATTGCTTTATTTCTTTATTATTTATTATTCCTCTTATTTATATTTCCTTTGTAGATGTTTTCGATATATATTAAAAGTTATTGATATATATTAAAAGTTAAAAATGAATTATTAAGGTTTACAAAAATTTAGGTTTCTTACAACTATGCAAAATTTCATGACTTCTCTGCTTACATATATGTGTTTTCAAAAGATCCAATATTTTTATAAAAAAGTAAAGCGATTTCAACGACATTATAATCAAAAGAAAGGTAATCGATTTACGCTTCTTTTGATATATATTAAAAGTTAAAAATTAATTATTAAGGTTTACAAAAATTTAGATTTCTTTCAACCTTGCCAAATATGATAAACTTTTTCTGCTTTTATGTATATGTATAGGTAAATACATAAACATACATCCATACACTACTATTGACTACTAAACTAGAATATTTAAAACTAGTTAATTAACCTTGATATCCTAATCGCTGTATAGCTGTATGTATAGGTCATCGTAGGCGTAGATAAAGTCTAGCTGATGAGACAGATATCTGGCGGACTCAAGAAGTCGATTGAATTCACGTTCTACCTGAAAAACAATAATATTTATAAAATAAACTATACTTATTACGTATTATTTCTGCTCACCATATCGTCCTTATGCTTGGGCACAGGTTTTCCACAAGCTCCATATAGCGGACATGCTAGCCTAACCTGCACTATCTCCATTCCAATTTGTTTGCTTAGTATAGTCATTGGATTGCCCCAAACATCTGTTATTCAGTGATCGGACTTAAAAATAAATTTGTGTGGTAGAATCTGGAAAAAATGTGGTAGATTTCAAAAAAATGTGGTAGATCCCAGGTTTTGGATAAAACTTGGTACAAAAATTTAAAATATTCTGCAAGGTTTCACCTAAATTGCAAACATTTTAATTAGAATCTAAAAAAAATTAATTATAGTATATCAAAGTGCAAGATTGAAGTTGCTAAAAATTGCGTTGAGTTTTAGCAATTTGTTTCCTTGACGGTTTAAAGCAGTTCCTTCCATATCAAGATATTTTTCGAACATATTTCGAAAGTTGATTGAGGATACAGCTTTCATAGAAAGAAATATTATAGATGGAGACAACTTTGAAAAAGAAATTGTAAGTAAAAGTCGCAATATATTTAAATTAAACCATTTTTATTTACTATATATTTATTACTTCATTTTTATTTGCTTGCAGAAAATATATTTACAATCAATCTTATTGTGCAAAATTTCGAAACATTTTTCAACAGTAATTTCGGACGAGCTGCTACAAAAGGTCAATTGGAACGGAAGTAAGAATCTCGTGGCCCTAGAAAGCTACAATTTTTTTTCCCGCACATTATACGGTATGTTGATTTTAATTATTAATATTATGTACTACATTATTATTTATTATTATTACTATTCCCATTCTCCCCATACTATTCCCATATAAAGTATGCACCGTCAGCAAAAAAAGAATATTAAAAATCAAAGCGATTTTCTAGCTTTTTAAAATTTCGACTTTAACCTACTGAAATTTAATGGGCTGTAAAACTGCACGTTTAAAATTTTCCTAAAGATTCTTAATATGGTTAAAAATTTTTGGGGTGTAATTGCTTAATTTTTTTGAATTTGTATAATTTTTGTAAGAAGTTTGAAATGTTAATTTATGTGGTGACTTTTATAAAAAAATTATAAACATCAAATAAATAAAAAAAAACAAAACTGACCAAAATGTTACTTAAAATTAATCAGCTGACCACAAGTGTATATTGTTATATATATTTTTATATATATACTATATATATATATTAGTAATTAATTTTCTATTATAATGCTTATATTAATATCATAATATTATATTAATTTTATAATGCTTATATTAATATATTATAATGCTAATCCGTTTTTTCAATAGATACCGTTAAAAATATGTACAATAGCTATGAGGACTATACAAGTGATGTAAAAATGGCCATTGCAAGAGGAAAAAATCGAATAGATCAAAGGCGTCACATCCAAAAGTAAAAAGTTAATGAGACTACAAAAGACAGTACGTCATATTGATTAACTTTTATTTTCCTATAAGTTATTTTTAATTTTTTATTTTTAATAAAAGTTAAGTTCTTCCTACAACAAAACCCATAAAAACAGAATCATATAGAAAGCAGCTTTGCACTTTAATTGAGTACGCAGTTTTGTAGATCATGGAATAGTATATTAAAGCGCAAAACTGCTTTCTTTTAAATATCTGCATAGAGTTTCGAGCTCTGACTTTTATGGGTTTTTTTATAGGAAGAACTATATTTTTATAAAAACTATGCAAAACATAATTACTCGAGAAATGTTACTTAAAATTAATCAGCTGACCACAAGTGTATATTGTTATATATATTATTATATATATACTATATATATATATTAGTAATTAATTTTCTATTATAATGCTTATATTAATATCATAATATTATATTAATTTTATAATGCTTATATTAATATATTATAATGCTAATCCATTTTTTCAATAGATACCGTTAAAAATATGTACAATAGCTATGAGGACTATACCTACAAGTGATGTAAAAATGGCCATTGCAAGAGGAGAAAATCGAATAGATCAAAGGCGTCACATCCAAAAGAAAAAAGTTAATGAGACTACAAAAGACTGTACGTCACATTGATTAACTTTTATTTTCATTTAAGTTATTTTTAATTTTTTATTTTTAATAAAAGTTAAGTTCTTCCTACAACAAAACCCATAAAAGCAGAAAAAAATAGAAAGCAGCTTTGCACTTTAATTGAGTACGCAGTTTTGTAGATCATGGAATAGTATATTAAAGCGCAAAACTGCTTTCTTTTAAATATCTGCATAGAGTTTCGAGCTCTGACTTTTATGGGTTTTTTATAGGAAGAACTATATTTTTATAAAAACTATGCAAAACATAATTACTCGAGAAATTTCGGAATAATAGAATCAATCATTGTCCCGTTTTTTTGGCGGCAATGTATATTAGTATATAAGTATTACAAGAAAAGCCAAGTTGTGTTCAAAGAATGTTCTTTCCAAAAACGAAACAAAACATTTTAAATGCGAGGTCATTGATGTAAAATATATTAGGACGTATGTAAGTATTTCCAGTATTTACTTTCAAAAGCATATGTATTTTTTTGTAAGTCTTGACTTAAAATCTTTTTTAAACTAATTTTAGAAGTTCTTCGGGAAAAAAACATTTTAAATGTGAATTCATTGATGTAATCTAGACTAGTATGTACAGTGGTCGAAAAATTATAGCCGCACCACATATTGACAAATTGTAACAATTTATTTTTGTTATTTAATTTCAGTTACGTTCGGTTAAGTTCAGTTTTATGAAATAAAGAAATATATGTTAATAAAAAGTAACTGAAATTAAACAACAAAAAATAAATTGTTAAAATTTTTTAATGCAGTGAGTGTCAGTCAAAATCGTAGAGCAGTTTTTTCCATATTTTGAAAATGTTTTGTTTTATTCATATTTTATTAATATTTAATAAAATTATAGTTCATGTTACAACAAAATTTCTAAAACTAAAAGTTTCTAACTGTGACAATTAAAAAAAATCTTAAAATTTTCATAAAAATTCCACACTTTTTATTTCGAATTTTTAGATCTTTAAATCTCTTATTAATTACACTCTTTTTTAATATAAAAATGTACATATGGATTTAGTGAATTTATTTGTCAATAAAATAAAAAATATATATAAAAAACTGTCTGTATAAAATGTTTCTAATTATTAAAAGTATATAAGCGGACAATAATAGGGTAAGGCTTATAATAAGGTAATGGTAGTCAATATTTTATCTTATTATTAGGCCTTATGTAAGAGTAGAGGATAAGGCTTATAATAAGGTAACAATGTTCTATATAATGTCTTATCATAAGGCATTATGTAAGCCTTATTTCGAGTAGGGAATAAGGCTTATAATAAGGTAATAATATTCTGTATAATGCTTTTTATAAGGATAAGCCTTATTTTGCACAGCAAATAATCCTTATGCATAAGAGTGGCTCTATGAGAGAGACATCAGTACAGCAAAATCAGACGTAAAATAAGGGATGTGCCATAGAACTTGTATTCCTTACAATTTTCATGCATTAAAGGTTAAGACTTACGATCATATTAAATAAGACTTATATAAGGCGCAAATTTTTTGGTGGGTGTTCGTTCATACATATACATACATGTAGGTACATATATACATATGTATACACGCACCCTAGTTTTGTATCGATTCGAACAATTTGATACAATCAAGCACTTGTACCTCACACAAATCATGCATGCATGTACGTACATGCACACGCAACACACTTTAGTATCTATTCGAAAAACAGCTTCGTTACCGCACAATATGTTGTGTTGTATTGATTCCCGATGATGGTGCATATACGTAACATTCGAGTAACGAGATTATTATGTGGGTAACGATTCGTTACTTCGATTCAGAGGTTGTATTCGTTACTCACTAACGAAAACAATTAGTGTGTGTGCAGTGACCTACCTATGGTTATGTATTTCGACCCGCAGAATCCGAATTTGAAGTCAGTTTGGCCAATGTACCTCTTAGATTTGGAGAAAGCTTCAAAAAACCATAAAAAATTGCGAAAGTCGGCAACAAAACTGTTTATAGAAGTTTTCTCGAAATCTAGGAGGTATATTGGCCAAACTGACTTCAAATTCGGATTCTGCGGGCCGAAATACATAACCATAGGTCTTCCCTTCTTCTTTATTGGCGCTGTAACCGCCTAAGCGATTTTGGCCGAGTCCAATACAGCACGCCAGTCATTTCTCTTCTGTGCTAACTGACGCCAATGTAAAATGCCAAGTGAAGCCAAGTTCTTCTCCACCTGGTCTTTCCAACGCAGAGGAGGCCCTCCTCTTCCTCTGTTACCAGCATCGTGGCCCGCGTTGAATATTTTCAGAGCAGGAGCGTTTCTGTCCATTCGAACGACATGGCCAAGCCAGCGGAGCCGCTGAATTTTAATTCGCTGCACTATGTCTATATCGTTGTAAAGCTCATACAGCTCATCGTTAAATCGTCTGCGATATTCGCCATCACCAACGCGTAAAGGTCCGTAAATCTTTCGCAGAATCTTTCTCTCGAAAACTCCAAGAGCCGCCTCATCAGATGCTTTCATTGTCCATGCTTCCGCGCCATACACCAGCACAGGCATGATGAGTGACTTATAGAGTGTGATCTTTGTACGACGAGAGAGGACTTTACTTCTCAATTGCCTACTCAGCCCAAAGTAGCACTTGTTGGCAAGAGTGATTCTCCGTTGGATTTCAAGGCTGACATTATTATTGGTGTTAATGCTGGTTCCCAAATAAACGAAGTCGTCTACTTTTTCAAACTTGTAACTGTCAACAGTGACGTGGGTGCCAAGACGCGTATGCTCTGACTGTTTGTGTGCTGACAGGAGATACTTCGTTTTGTCCTCGTTCACCACCAGACCCATTCGCTTTGCTTCTCTATCCAATCCCGAGAAGGCAGAACAGACGTAGCCCTTGTTTTTACCGATAATATCGATGTCGTCGGCATTCAACAGCGGACTCTCGTGTAAAGTATTGTGCCTGAGCGGTTCAGTTCTGCGGCTTTTATTATCTTT